AAAAGGCTTCAGTAGCAGAATACCTCCAATAAGAACAAACATCTTAATTGTATACAAAATACAACCTGCGTAACTTGTTAACCAGATTGATGCACTTCGTTCTGTTTTTGTCTTTCACTACTATAGTAGTAAAACTATAAACTATAGTAGTACAACATTCATTATATAATAGACGGGAAAGAAGATACCGTTCAGTTGTCATGTTCACAGATAATCAAGCAGCGCTAAAGGCCCTTAAGTGTGGACCCAAGATGAGGTCAGTTCTAGACTAGTATGAGAATGTATGCGTGCTGTAAATATATTGGGTAAGTATAGCAATGTTATTTTAGTCTAGGTACTGGTGAAGGGGGGTAGCAAGGGTAACAAAACAGCTGATTAATATTAAGCAAGGCTCATCAATGCCATTTATAGGCCCAGAACCCTTCTGCGGCGTTGCAAAAGTAGTCATGAGAATGGCTGCGGTAAGATGGGTGACCAACGAATCTGTAGAATGGTGGAGAAACTCACCAGGGCAAAAAGTTCATAAAAGAACTTTCACCGAAATTCATGGCAGACCTAGTAAGCAAAGACAGAAAGACTTTAAAACCTGTAGAGGGTCCAAAACCAAGGCATTGCAAGCTTAACAGGCAATTAAAGTTGATGGGATTGAGAGAGGAAGTCATGTAAGGATTTTGTCGATCAGAAGAAGAAATGACAGAACACATTCTATGTTGCGACAGCTTTGCAAATGTGTTGTCCTTTGTATTAGGAAATGATAAGCCGTTGACAAAGAACTACATGGAGGCTTCAGTCTCCAATATATTAGACTTTTTGAAAAGGATAGGACTAAAGAGTGTAATCCAGTGATCAGAAGAGGAACACAATAGATCTGAAAACAGCGGAACAGTAGTTTTTAACACTCTGATTTTGTGTGTTCGTATATTTTTAATACATTCCCGTAGAAACGTTTTTGCTTTATCGAATATTTTTTCTGCTAAGTTATAATCCGCTGATATTACGTTAAGTATTCCATCCTCAAATAAAAGCATGCATTAATATCTTCCAATCAAAAATGTAATTTATCTCTACTATTTAGATATTGAGCTTCGACCATACGGGCCATACAATTTTAATACATTCCTTTCAAAATTTCTCTCTTTTAATGAACATTTTCTTGCATTAAGTTATATTCCGATATTTCGTTGTGTAATCCATTTTGGGTTAAAAGCACTAATTAACTGATAGTCCAATCATATCTTCTGATCACTTAAGTTGAACTCCCTGGGTTTTAGAAGTGTGTTACAAAATAAATGTTATTATGTGTTATTATGATTTCATGGCAAAGCAAGCAAGGCAATGCAAGCTGAAAAAAAGCTATGTCTACATTTCACGCTCTGAGTTTTGTCCACACAGCCTTCATACATGTCAATAATTTAGTGCTTTACCGCCAGGTTTTTTCTCTTCAAAATTATACCACAACATTATCTTTATTATAGTATCTAATTTTTTTTCTATATAATTTAGATATTTCGTTGTTTTTACTTTTCAGCCATGATACTTAAATATCCATTATGGGTAGTATTTAACAATCAAATAGATAGCTACTGTGATATTACTATTAAGTCATCGACTCTATAGTAACTGTCCACTTTACTAATTTGAAATGACCTATATCATTTAGATTATGGAAAATTAAATTAATTGTTAGAATCTAAGAAAAATGATGCTTCTATTTTCATTTTCTTTATTTATCTAGCTCAAAATATTGAGAAACAAAATATATAGAAACAAAAATCAACAAAATAAAAAGTTATTTTTTGTAAACAAATTTGACTAACCGACAAAAAACAACTTTTTTATTTCATACTTTTCCCTTTCAGTGACAAAACTCAAAACTATACTATACTTTTTGAAGAAATGGCCCACCAGAAGAGTATATAGACCATATAGAATATATTATTTTTATAAGTTCTTTATTGTCAGATAGAAGAAATCAGTAAACATTGAATAGAAGAAAGCTTTTTTGGGATAGTACATCAAATGGCGATTCAGAGCAGTGTTATGGAAAATGTGCAGAAATTGGGAAGGAAATGTATCATAAAGAACAGACTAAATACAATTTTTAAATTAAATCATCTAATCGATATCTTGTATAAGTATCACAATTCCTATAATAACTTTACCTATTTCAAATATGCCTTCCTTCTATTTTAATTTCATAATACGCATTGCTTTAAATTAGTATGACTGTTGACTTTTACCATATCCAAATGTCAGTCTAACCTTTAGTTAGACAGCGCTATACGGGTCACAGTCAGATTCGGTAGATTAAATTAAAGATATCCCCCAGATACATATTTAAACATATTTAATCCATATAAAGGTTCTATCGTTTGAAAATGGAGACAAACTCCTATTATATCGTCAATCAGTTGCCTTGTCTGAGAAAACTGAGTCGTATGTAAGTATATATGTATATTTTATATCAATTAAACTTTTAGTTACGTAATTGAGAGCGTGATTTTTGAATACATTGTTGCCAACCATGGACATATTCGGCGCCGGGCTGACTAAATGGAATTTAAATTTCCCGCTGGGGATTCAGGTGGTAGCTCTGCTGTAACTTTTGTATTACAAGTTTTTGGTTTAAATAAATAGTGTTGTGATGCTTTGAGCTTAAAAATATTTACTTTGCAGATCTTGCAGAATACCTATCTTTTAGTACGAAGTATTATACAAGATAGCTTAATGGCCGTAAATAACTCATCGCAACTTTATTAGAATATTTTGAAAGGGAAAACGGTAGTAATGACCCTTTGTGTCCCTTAACTGTTGTTAAGAAGGTGAGCTTGGTTGATGTAAACAATATAACTGTTTATATATTTGTAGGGTTTTTATCAGTTGTCTAGGGGTATTGTTTAAAAAAAAAAGAAACACAGGTTCGTTATATAGGTTTAGCAAGCGAAGTTTATTCTTAGGCACACTTAGATGAGATACAACGGCACTTATATTGTTGTTACTAGGTCTACTATCGTTAGTTACACAGTTTGGCATGTACGTCTTTACTTCTTAAAATGATAAAACACGTCTTACTACGTCTTAATTTCACAAATACGTCTTTTTGGCGCCTAAACCTTAAAAGCCGGCT